TTCACCAGCACTAATCATGATCATCAATAGACTGCGACTGCGAATCGCTAGTTTACAGAGAATCCCACAAAGGAGTGAACGGTTGCACTCCTGTAGCTCTTGCTCTTTCTGAGCATAAGCCTCAGCTGCCTTCTCCTGGGGAAGAGAGACAAGAGGAGAGAGAGCGAGAGAACAAGTTTTAAATGGACTGCGCACCAATTGAAAGCTGGACTCACTAGTGGCAACGTGATCATCCACTTTTGTCAGCAACCAAACACCCCACAGAAGAAGCAGCTAGGACTTGGCTTCTTCCGTTTGGACTTGGCTTGGCTTGCCACCTACCCACCTACCAGCTACCTCAAGCCTCCAAAGGATTGAGCTGCGGGGACAGGGTTGTTTTCGACACAGTTGAGTATAGGCAATCCATGATGTTCAAAGCCTACAAGTACATAGATACACTGGAACTCACAAACACCGAAATGGAATATGGAAGAACATGGTCCCTTAGCTTGGAAAATGACATTCCTCAAGAAAGAATGTTCTCTTTCCCACTTCTATGTCAGTGAGTCCCAGTGTCTGAAACAAAGCTAAACGTTTGCGGTCTCTACTCGATTGACGGCCTGAGAGGCCTAGCCTCACAAAACCAACCCTGGCGAAACAACACGGCTCGTTGCGGCTCGTTGCATTTGCTTCGCTCATTGCTGAGTCAGTCCCTTAATGTGACGTGTTCATGGTACGTAGGGAAGTGAGTTTAACAAATGGTTCACATGAATTGCTTGATGCTGAAATCACAACATGTTGCTGCGAACCAATGACCATACACTCACCAAACTGGGAATCGGGACCAAACGGGAACCCCTACTCTCGCGTGAACCGGAAGCGATGATAGGAATGGTCTACCGCCATATTCCAGGACCTTCAGTACGTGACCCTTTTGAGGACTCCCAGGATGAGGTCACTTAGGTCCGTTCTAAGGTCACTTATAGACTCCAAAGATGTCACGAACTGAAGGTCCTGGTTCCTGATGTCACCCCGGTCTCGCCTTCTCTTCCCTCATGATGGTCTCGCGCAGCTCCTGGTGAGACTGTCTCTTGGCAGGGAATCGGTCTGAATCCAGAGATGGGGAATACCCCGACCCTGAAAACCAGTGGTTTTGTAGTGGAATTCAATCTTCCAGGGGGACATGGTTTTCCAGAGGGTAAGTCATGCAATCTCCCAATCCGCCAGCCGGCAGCCCCAGTTGCATGATGTTGCATGGAGATATTTTCGCAAGGAAATCACCCATATAGAAACTGCATCTATGCGAGCTCACATCCAACGGCATCGATGGCACTACTGGTTCTTCAATTCTCACTCAAACTGCTTTTCACAGGTTGACTGTCCGATGGTCCTAGTATATCCTAGTGACCACCCCAAAATCAATGGACAACTCAATCCAGTTGGTTGCAAAACCATGAACAATCTAGTCACCACATCCTGACAAAAAATATATTTCTGAACCATATATACCTGGTTCTTCAAAGTGACCTTTTGATAACCTGGTTTGAGGTCACTTAAGCCTCCTAAGGGTCACTGAAAGGAACCTTCAAACGGTCACTTTGAAGAAGCTGGTACATACCCCTGACGGTCTTCAAAAAGAAAGGTCCTCGACAATGCTGAGAAAAGTGTTCTCAAAAGGTACACTCTCGGCATGATGTGGCTGATGTTCTTTTTGAGGTCCCGGACCTTAAAAGGAAGGTCTATGGATCTGGTGATGTCTGGTTGTGATCTGGCTCTCTTCCGATTGCCATTTGCAAGCTCATGAAGCACTGGCCCCTGTTCTGATCGGAAAAGGCCATAATGCCATACGTTCGTTGGTTAGTCCAAAATAGAAATCATTCAGGTTCGAGGACAAATGATCCCCATGGCTCCCAAGGTGTAACCGACCTTCCTGGCAACCCCAACCATCGAACCGAAAGGGAGCTAGGCCAGGAGCCGGACTTGCCCTATTCCCTGAAACCTGCGGTTTTCTGTGCCTCCCCTCATGGGCGCCCTTCGCAGCCTGGCCCATCGATCGGACCTCGATGTCGGTGGTCTCAAAGAGACTTGGGGAGACTGCTGAAGGCATCGACTCCCTGATGGCCATCGGGGAACTTGCCTGGCGCGGCGCGAGGCGAGTTCGGCGTTCTCGCGACACAGGCAGTTCCATGCCTTGGAAGCAGGTGAATGTGCAAAGATATGACTGACACAAATCAATCATGCCATATAGTTGGTGTTTGAACGGAGATGAGATGAGGTATTGGGGCCACCTCTGAATCCTGGCTGAACTTGCGAGTGAATCGATAGAAAGTGGACTCACTCGAAGCTGAACTTGCAAATGTGTATGCCACAAAAGGCATCTTCCTTCCAAAACCTATGCAATGTTGGTTTTCAGAAGTATATAGTACAGCCGGCCCAGGAAGATGGATGGACGGAAGCACATCCCGTACCATTTTTGCGACACGAACTTCTCTTTGTCTGTTGTTTTGTTTGTGTCTTTTGCATACCCACATATCTTCTCAGAAGGTATACTGGACCCTCCATGCCTATGTAAATCGGTAAAAGTGTCTCTAATCACCTTCTCAAAGGGTGGCAGTGGATCCACACATAGGTATAGTATCAATCATGGGTCTAGGTTCCAATATTGGGTCGTTGGGCTGCTCAGTAATTACCATGATTCACTTCTTACCCTGCTAATCTCTTCAATGGAAATTCTGGGAGCGCTTAAACCTGCCAGGGACGATGAACACATTTTCTTCACCAAGCAGGTGAATCACTGTTGATCTAGTGGAGTGGACCGCTCCACGTTCACCCCCACCTTCCGCATGCCTTGCGCAGGCCCACCGCCCCACACGCCCCACGCCTCCCATGGCACACTGGGGACGCTCGAAGTCCATGGGTCGCTGGTGCTCAGTGGCGCACTCTTGGGCAAATCAAAGCCAAAGGTATCGATGTACCTGAGTTGCAGTGCAGGGAGCATCTCCTGTGGCTTGTCAAAAATGAAAAGCCCCCCAGGGCCCCCGACAGCGAGACGATAATCCACTCTGCACATTCAACATGATCAGATCTTGGGTATTATTGGATTACCAGTAACAGTTGGCATTTGCCTTTCTCCAAAACCGTGTTGTTTCATATGACCAACTGCTTACTGCTACTACTGGGACACAGCCTGGGCCTTAGATCCCGATCCCTTAGATCTTAGATCCGACGAGTGGGCTGCCTTGACTGGAGACGGACCGGAGCAACTCTCGAGGTTGACATGCCCATCCCAACAAAAGAGGGAAAGCGGCAAGCAGGGATTATACTTTAGAGTGACCTGAAAACCAACCTTGTTTTTTTCTTCCCAAAAGCACAACTGCATGGATGACATCTTGGAATCAAAGATTTCTGGTCTTTGACACAACTAGTTCCCTTCCGTTCAATTCAAAGCAGCCTTGCACCCTTAGCACTTGAAGCTCTGCAAACCACTTCAATGCCCTTCCCTTAAAAATCTACGAGCCTGCTTGAGTCTGCTTGCCATCTTTCCTCCTCACCTAGGGCTCTTGTCCTTCATCCTCACCCAACCTGTCCTCGCATGCTTATTCGAACACTTTGTTTGTGCACCGGTGAAAAGACAAAACAAAACAATCACCGAGGAGGCGAGGTCAAAGGCCTCCCCCATCCACAACTCTCAAAGCTCCTCTGAAATCTCAAAACTGCACCTGCCACATTTGACGCTTTCTGCACCTGCTAGCGATGGCCTTCAACCTAATAGCGATGGCCTCCAAACCAGCTCCGGTGTCTTTTTGGCCACGGTGCGGCACCAGCGGCTCCGGCTTCTGCCAGCGCGCCATTCTTGGCGAGTTCTGCGGAAAGCAGAGCTGGGCTAGTGGAGCTTTCGGAGGAGCGGAGCTCGGAGCTAACAGCTGCGGAAGCAGAAGCGGAGTGCAGTCCAAGGATTTTTCAAACCTGGTCCGACCAAGCTGATGGAGTAGGATTTCTGGCACGAACTCGATCCCGGTGTGAAAATGAGGTCTATAGTTATATAGTAAGACCTGTAGGACCCTGTGTAGGGATTCGTCAGGAAGCTGGGCTAAAGACGCGAAGACGAACTTCCGCCCCCGCGGATTCGGTCTCTGAAACACCCAAGGGGTTCCGCACCTCGGCTTGAAGCTGGTAAAGCATGGTGAAGCTGCTCTGTGAGCTGCCCCACACAAAAAGCCGGTGAAGCTGATCAGAGTCCCCACCCCAGGGCTTCTGGCCTAATTAGCTCCGTTTCAGTTCGGTGGTTGTGGGGGGGGTGCCAGAAGGGCCTAGCCACCTTCTGAGGATATGCGACAGGAGCCCTAGGGTAAAAGTCGAGAAGCCTTGCTGAACATGTTCACCGGTGACCAGGGTCGATTGAGAAACCTATACATGAAGCATTGAACCGGTGCTAGGGCATTGAACACCTAGATCTTCCGACATCTTCCAACTATACACAAAGTATATGCCATATGCATGCCATATGCCTCTTCAAGAAACCAGCCAGAAGGAAAATCTTCTTGCACAGTTGGAAGATCCAGGAATCGACCACTGAACTACATTGGAGATATGGTTGCTCTCACTCGTTTCTTCAGCGTCCTAGACTACGCTACTCTTAGGGATCTCCAGCCAGCACACTTCCCAAACCGATGGTTTAGGAAGAAATACAAGAAACAACAAAAACATAATTCAATTTAAGGTTTTAAATCAGGGTGCTTTTGCCGAGACCTGAGGCTCTGAAACACCGACAGCACAATTCTGGACAGCACAGCTTCGAACAGATCTGCAGTAAAACAACGGGAACTCATCCATTTTTAATCATTATCACCCCGCCAGCATGCTTGGAACTCCTGCCCCTACCCCATGCCTGTCATCCTGCCCAAGACCTAGATGGACCAATCAGAGAAAGGGTGATGAGCTTCTCCTCAACTTCACTAAGCAAAACACAACCAAACACTGGCATCAGTGCCACACTGCACCCCTAAACCGTGCGACGTGGCCTGGAACTTCGATTTGAGCTCTTCTTCCAAGACCTTGGGCGACTCTCTCCCAAGAACCTTCCACTGAAGAGAGAACCTCCGACTGATGTTCTTCGGGAATGTCAGGCAAGACTGTTCGGAGAAAGACACACTTCGCTACTGGGTTTGGGAGTTTACATTCAACTCATTTTTCGGCTATCAACAGTTTTCCAAGTAGTGGATTCCGGTAAGTTGAAACTGCCCCGCCCTGATTTTTAAGGCTGGAAGTAGACGAGTCTGAAGATGATGCAACACTGCTGGCCAAGCAGAAACTTGAAAAGATTTAGCGGAAGCCGCTAAATTGAAAAGTGAAATGGTGGCTGTCCATCCCTGCCCCTTAGCAATCTAAAGGGAAGCTCGGCAGAGGATCGAACTACGAACGGTTTCCTTAATAAGATTATGGGGCCAGCGCCTTATCCAGTATATAGACGAAGGAATCTTCTTCTGGAAGGAGTTCTTTGAAATGGACCCCCCAGAGAGAAAGAACAACCAATTAGCGGAAGCCACCAATCTCCGGATCGACTGGTGGGGCTGACTTCACAAAATGACTTCTGCTTCTCCCTGGTTCTAGGGCGGGTTGTTTTGGGCGCTCGGGATGTCTAGAGGCTAACCTATTGTTGTCTTCTGCTTGCTGTTCTTCTTTTTCTGCTTGCTGTTCTTCTTCTTCTTCTTCTTCTCCTGTTCTGTTTATGTTTCGTCTTCTTCTTATTACTATGTTTGCTTAATTCTTTCATATTGTTCTTGGTCTGTCCTCTTTTACTGTGTCTGTTTCTCTTCCTTCTCCTTCTCCTTCTTCTGTTTCTTTGCTTTGTCCTCCTTCTTCTTGTCTTCTTGATGTTTTGTCTTTTTTCCTTCACAACCTCCAGGAAAACTAAGCCTGTGATCCAAGGGCTTGGATCACACACCCACCTTTTGATCCATACCCCATGGATCGAGGTATGGATCGTGTGTGGGTTTGGGTGTGTGATCCAAGCCTTATGTTTCTGGCCGTAGCCATATACACAAACATAGATACATGTCCCCTGCTTTGTGACCCACAGCCATATCACTCTTCTCCGCTTTTCCGCGATCAGTCTCCCTGCCTCCATATCCCTGACGTGCTGTTGCTGCTGGCAGTTCCTCTCCTAGCAGACTCAGTGGCCCGACCGCACGCGTTCGTTGGGCGAACGACGTGTGGGCTGGGACGGGACATGACATGATCCATTCAACCATGGACAAGTTGCTTGTCGCCCATCCCATCAAGTCAAAACACACGCACACACACAGGACGTACGTACCTGTTGTTGCTGGATCTTGGATGCTTTCGAAGATTTGTAGAAGGCCTTCTAGGGACAGCTGGAATCCAAGGCTTCAGTCTTCGATCCAGGATGCTTCTCCGGGGAAGCACTTCACGACCCGTGCACCACATTCTCTCCACGGGTCGGAACCAAGAACTGTGACCCAGACCATCTATCAGGCCGGAAGAGTTGCACCACACTCACCAAAGTATGACCCAAACATGTAGGTAACGATGAACGTTCGTCCCATGGATGGTCTGGGTCAACGTATGAAACCACACCTTCGATGCAAAGGGAGCACGAGGGCGGACACAACGCGCGCTTGCGGAGCGGACGCCGCGGACGCGGTTCTCTTCGCACCTGCGTTGCGGACACCTTACCGAAGGAAAGCACCCGACTCCATCGTGCAACGACCCTGAGTCATTCGAGACTAAAATAGGTAGCATCGTAGCAGCGCCTTCAATAATGTGACGTGAATTTCCAGCGCCTTCAAAGATGCAAGGATAATGATTCCGATATCTAGTTGGGAACCCTATAGATAAGTATTTGAGCTTGTGTCTCTCCAAACGTTGCTACCTGTTTAGGAACCCTGGTAATTTGAAAGAACATGAACTTCCCCTGCTCTGCATCTATAAACCAAGTTGAAAATGACCCAAGTCTTAGCGACGAATGACCCATGGCTGATCTCGAATTCACTGTAATTACGCTGCTCCATTCGCTCCTCTGCTGACGCGTGGAACACCTACACAATACTCAGATCCAGCGAGCCTGCGTGAGCTTATACTATTTTCGGGGAAACTCTCCCTGTCCTGTAGTTGACAAACGCTCTTGGCAATGGATGCTGAAGTTAGCTCTCCCTCTCTTTCTGTCTGTCTCCTCATTCACAGACTCCATAATCTGTTGCCATCATTTATCTAGCAAAGTATGTATATACACCTATCTGCCGTGCTCCATCAACACCCATTCTATCCTTTGTAGCAGTTAATCTGCCATACATCAGCCTAATATAGATCTGGTCTATACGGGCATGTTACGTCTAAGGATTCTTGTCTGCACCCCGAGTTAACCGATATGTTTGGTCAGAAGAATGCAAATGTATCCATCGTTCAAACAAGCCTTTGGAAGATTTGACTGTTTAAATCCATGGACGAGTCAGCTTTAAGCGTTCCTCTTCATCCAAAAGATTCAAACAAATCAAACCAAAACAAAAGAAGCAACCAACAACGATGGTATGTTCATATCCTGATGAACCAATCAAACAACAAGTATAATGTCGTTGTTGTGATCTCTTTGTGGTTTCAGAAACCACAAGATTAGGACAGCTATTCATTCAGCTATTCATTGCAGCTACATTCAGTGACTCATTCTGAAGGAGTGTTGCAGTCTGCTCCCCTAAAAACACACCTCTTCTTTGGAGGATCTTCCACTGCTCTCACTGCTTGGCTCGCCGCCTCATTCGAGCGAATAGCGAATAGCGAGTTGCCTAAAAGGGGATGGGTCATAAATTAAGGTGTGTACATATGTATGTAAATAACTAGACACATTAATATCAATAATTTACATATGTATATATACATTATACCGACCTGCATCCCCAAATATGTGTTTTTCCTACCAAAAAGGATGCTTTTCCAGTGACGACAAACCGACTCCCTCACACACCGGTTGGTGGGAGGACACTGGACAGAGGTTTGAACAATTGAGATCCTTTTTTATCCATCCGTCTTAAAACATCTATATATGTGGATCAGCCGCGGTCAAATTGAGAAGTCCATTTCGCGTGGCCAGTGGTCACCATCCTTTAGTCACAAAGGGGTGGTGTTTAGTCCAGCGAGTGGACAATATAGTGGGCACCCGTAAACTCCAGTAAGCACCCTTTTGGAACTGCTGGTAAATTTTATGACAATTATATAAACACCTCTTTCTTTCGTCGGAGGACAATTGGCCGTGTGAAGCCACACTTTAAGCATCTTTCTCGCAGGATGAACACGGGGAAAGGGTTATCAATCTTGGAACCCTTCAAGAATACATTTTGATACAAATACATGTTGTCCTATTTTTGTCCTAATTAGTGCTTTCCGTCCGAGTGCCGGAGGATTCCAAACCCAGCGATTCCGCCCTCGGATGAGTTTCCCTCGAACCGGTTGTCCACCGGTCCATCTGATGGTGCACACGGTGCATGAGCCCGCATGGGAGCGAAGTGGAAACCCCACAGGCCGAGCAGAGCAAACCGGGTGGAGGAGCCCTTTTTCTCAGACCAAACCGGTGGAGTTTCCACGTACCAAAAACCTTCCGTTCGTGAGCGAACTTGAGATCCCAGTGGCGGGTCGGTCATATAGGCCTTGATTTCAGGTCACTTAAATACCAATCCTGTAAGAGGTCACCGGGAAGGTGCTGGTGATCTTTTCAGGGAGTGTCAGTGTCAAAAAAGCAACTGGAGGTGTTGTGAAGAGGGATTCTTAGGACCTGATGCGGGATTCTTAGGGATTCATCTGTCATCGAACCAGTCCTCTGACAGATGGCAACATCTGTCTCCGACCCAAAAATGAAAAGAACTCCAATGAGTCTTTTAGGCTATAGTATAAGGTTCTTCCATGTTGCTCCGTCCGGTCCCATCGCGGTGGCAAAAGGAAGGTTTCCCACCCAAAAGGATTTGACATGTTTGAGCTCAACGAAGCCCTCAACGAAGCCCTCAACGCCGTCAACAAAGAAAGTTCAGCGACTTGCATCTGGACCCACCGTCAGACCGGATGGCGACTCGCATGCGACTCGCCATCCCACGACCGCCTGCGCATGGCACGGCTGCGCCACTCTTGCAGTCGACTCCCCAGGCTTCGCAGTAGCTGCGCGGTGAGGGCAGCGCCCAGCGCGCCCAGCGCAGCAGCGGCCAGTGCAGCAGACCAGGCCGGAAGTCTCGGGCTGCGCAGGGAGTTCAGCTGCACGGTGTTGGGAAAGTAGTGCACCTGAGTCGTACGACTCCATACTCATACTACCAGGCTGCTTTATCAGGCTATTGGATCTTGGATGGTCGGAAGTCTTCTCCCAGTGAAACAGTCCTGGAGTTCCTCCACTGCTGCGCAGGCTTCTGTTTGGACCTGGATAAATCAAAGGACTCTACTGTGCCCACTTTCTGCGGTCTGAACTAAGACTCAGGTAGGTTGAGAAGTGTCTTGGAGAGTTGATGTATGGGTGGCAGATGTCCTCCAAGTTTGCTCTCAAAGGCGAAACAAAGCGAGTCTGGGACGACAACGAGTCCTCAACTGAAGGGAGCAAGAGTCATCCCTCACTATGAACTGTTTGTCCTCCTTGGCAGAGTCCATTTGGACCAACCAAAAATTGTCATTCACACCCAACCCGGAAACTCTCCCGGTCGTATTGCCTGTGTTGCCTTTGGAGATGTGTTCGCTGTACTGAGACGGTGGAGCTCTCAGCCTCCGTTACAAAGTGGAGAGCTCTCCGTTACATTCCAAAGGGTGTGTCAAACTCGCTGGTGCGTCGTTGCCAAGCCTTTTGGTTCATTCCTCCTCAGAGAGTGAGGAGGCAAAGAAGTGGTAGTGTTTTGCTCGTCAAACCAATTTCAACCAGAACGCATGATTTCTCCCACTTGGCTCAGCCTAGACACGGCCCAAACAGCCATGAAGTAGCACAGCACCAGTACCTCTATCCCTCGAGTGCCAAGACTTTTCACCTGGCGCACGAATCCGCAAATACCGGGAAAAGCTTTAGGAGAGAAAGGACGGACCTGGACCAATGCAGTTGTTCCCCTTTGGACACCTATGAATCACCTGGATCACCTGTGGACTACCACGACATGACTATACCTGGATCTCTTTTCAACTCAAAGCAGTGGTGTCCAGTGTCCAATGAATTGAGTGATTCCCCCGACAAATCCAGAGGTTGGAGACAACAAATGAGGAGATTCCCTAACCGCTAACCCTTCAACTATATGCCTCCTCAGAAGGGAGGGACTGACCCAAAACGGAGGTCGTCTAGCAGCACTGTGAGAGAAAGTTCTGCCTTTGTCGAAACATGAAACAACACTTCTCCAAAGAGATGTAGATATGAAAACACTGCTTCCAAAACACATGAATCCTTCCTGCTAGTGGCTTCTGGCTGGGTCAACTGAAATCTTGCCAGTTCTGTCTTGATCTTCGGTCCCCACAAGCCGACCGCTCAAGTCGCCGTGCCCAAACTCGATCCACCTTCGGTCGTTTCCAGCGGGGGCTCAATCCCAGTAGAAGCAAAGCACCGAGCCCCGCGGCAGGCGCGAGGCCCAGAGGGGCTGTTCTGCACAGCAGAAGAACAGCTGATGAACTGAAGAGATATGCGAGCCTGAGATGCGACTTCGGGCCTAAGACTTGCGAAACCAACCTGAAAAGCACGTAGAGTTAGACTAGCCAAGTTTTGAGGGTTTGGAGGGAAGATGGGGGAAGTTAGCTCCTGCCGGTTGGTGGGAGTAATCACAGCACTGCCATAACTATTGCCAAGTCGTATGATTCTACTTCCCTTTGTTGGCCGAGTGACAGCAAAGTGCTGGGACCGAGACGCGATTCAATGGCTCGACCCAGCCTGAGGCGGTGTTTCAACTCGGTTTTGAGATGGATGTGGCTTTCTTAAGACGTTGAGAGACCTGCTACCCGGGAAGCCGGCTTTAGGGTTCTTCAACCTCTCCAGGTACAAAATGGTACAAATACCAAGGTCCATTTGCGGGTCGATGTTTGTTGAGCTGAACACACTCTTAAGCCATACCGTTTTCGCATCTATGAGTTGACTGCTTTTTCCAGCGACCGTCTGTAAGGTGGCATCAAATGTATGCCAGCGCGGCTTGAAGTGTATTAATCACACATGACGTGCTTTATGTAGGTTTGGTTTTACTCCTCCAAGCCGTGTGCGCGGCCAGTCATCCTGAGGCAAGGGGTCTTTGGGAATTATCCAATGGACAATCTGTTTGACTTTATATAAGTCTTGCACGTTAAGAACTGCCATGCTCAAGGGCCTCTTGCTGCTGCTACCTATGATCGACATCAGCGTCTTAAGAAGAGTCACTCAGATCAAAACGAGTTATGTTTTTCTCCACACCTGGTTTCTCCTGAGGATGGCCAAACTCCAGCTTCTGCTTCATCCAACAAAGAACCACAACGTCTTCCCTTGGCATCTCAGCAAAGACATTTCTATTCAACAGGTCTGTCTGCTCGACCCGCCTACTTCTTGCAGGGATGAGCGTTTTCTACTGACTTGCAGGGAACACACATCTTCCCTCAGAAGGGGATTTGTTCACCACTTCTGGGAGCATTGTTCGCAAGCACCGTCGGAGCCTTCAGGTCGGGCTGGACGAATGCCCAGTCCATGAAAACCACCAGCCCAAGGGAACCACCGTCCCAGCGAGGGCGGCGACATAGCCGACATGGCCGACATGCACAGCGAGTGGAACGCGTCGAAGAAACGGACACGAGTCAAACATGACCAAAGCCAAAGCATTCGAGATGGTCGACATTTGTTTTCGCATGTGAAAAACATCAGAATTCGGAGTTTTGGACGTTTCAGGGGTCCAGAAAGGCAGCACCTTTGGACACGTTCGATCTGGAACATTCCCGACACCTCACGTCGGAAGAAACCGACGCGCCGCGTGAGCCGACCCAACTGGAGACGTTGGAGATCGAGCACTGTCCACTGACCCATCCAGACCGATCCATCCAACTGGGGAGACTGTCCGGACCGCCGGCATGTCCAAGGCCGTGATCTCCAAGTGGCAGCAGAAGCAAGAAGATCCCACAGCTCAAAGACGGCAGGTCAGGCCAAAGGAAGCCACCCAGCACTCTGCCAGCCTTGCAGGTCGAAGGCTGGGTATGAAGACAAAAACCGCCCGGGTAGGTCCACGGGACTGGCATACGGCCCATGGTGGTTCCAGCTGATGCCGGAGTTCCTTCTTGGAACTCTCTCCGATGGAGCGAAGTGACAGGATGGGAAGGAATTGGAAAGTGCAGTGCAATTTGTACCATCTAGTAGAGAACCAATTGATCGTTAAAAGCGAGGTCGGAGGTCAAATGGCTCCATCAGAAGCTGATTCAAATTCAAATAGTAATAATCACATGTATACACATTCATATTATAAGCAAGTAATGGGATCAGAATTGGGAATCAAACATAAGCAACACGGTGTGTTGGAAGGAACGGGGTTTGAGAAGGGAACGTTGACCATCGAATGAGGGGTGAACGTGGAAGTAAAAAGGGAGTGAACAATTCAAGAGAGGCGGTGAGTATTGCAGGAAAACTGGGCGGTGAAGTTGGGACAAATGAAGGCCATGATTCCATCTTGGTGATAAGCAAGACTTTGGGATACCCCCCCGTGTCTCTTCGCATTGTACTGACTAGTATCCCCAAATGCCGCTTGGTGCAGGATGTATGTATGATGAACATGCGCAACATGCTGTCAGGACAAGTTTGAACATTATGGTAATCACAACATATACAACTCTCGTATAACTCCATCCGTTGGTCTCCCGGCGACTCATTGTTGACAGTGCTACAACTCCCAACCACTATGAATTTGGACATCTGGTATTGTATCATGCAAAACTCTTAGGAGCATCGTCATTAGGTTGGAGGCCACCGCTCTTAGGATGGAGACCATCGCTACTAGGTTGGAGGCCATCGCTACTAGGTTGGAGGCCATATTCTAAGTGCTGGTTGTTGCAACATGTATTGATATTATGTATATATAGGACTTATTGATGGTCTTTAAAGTGTAGGTTACCAGCTCAGCACAACTCTTTGCGCAACTTACACCTTCTAAAAGCAACTTGCGCACATACAAGTAGCACGGCAAGGCACGAAAGGAAACAACGCGCATGCCCATGGCTATTAGGTATTCAGGTGATTTTCAATGGGTGGCCTCACAAACGAGCTCGGTCACCGAATAAACTGGTAACGCAGCTCGACGCCTTCGTGTGAGCGACATCCAGCAAGGTCAAAGCCAGCATGAGTGTGGTGAGCGACAGAGTGCCGGTGACTGGGGGATTCTCATCTTCTTCACCTGGGCGATGAAGAACGCGTCTTGAGAAAGAATGCGATGATAACAACACGTCTTTTTGGGTTGAAGGGCATGTTGAAGGGAACATACCTCGAACAATACTAAACGCTACAGTGTACAAGTACCTGTTTTCCTTTATATAATTTTATAGAGTCATGTCCTTTTGGAGTCAACAACCCATGTGTTCAACAAGCTCCTCTTGGTTTGTGTAGTTCCAGCAAACCCGTCTACGTCAACCAGCTGCTGCAAAGATGAATTTCAGAAGGAACATAATTGTCAGAGTCCAGGTTCACGCCTCACAATGCTGCACAACCTATCAAACCTCAGCGACTGGACTCATTCAAAGTACTACTACACTAATCACACTCTTGGGAATCCGCCACCTCCAAAACACATTGATTCAAGCAAGTGTCAACAAAGTTCACATCTCAAATCGCAGCTGGAATACAGACCTACTCCCCATCTCTCTGCCAAGCCCTGGAATACTTAAGACTTGGGGAAACGGTTGAACACACCAAGGCATTACAAGTGCCTTTTGCCTTTCTCTTTGGACTCACGCTCTTTGCATCTTCCACGCCACTGGCCAGTGCATCGAGGCCTTCGTCCAAGCGCTGCCGGGCGCCTTGCCGGAGCTGCCGCCAGGCGCCCAGACCGTCCGTCATGGCGCCCAAGAAGCCCTTCGACTCCTGAAGTCACGGTGATGGGAGGAGGGCGGGGTGGATGGGCGGAGGATGGTTGGACCGGCTTTGAACAACAACAAAAAGGACACATGACACATGTGTATAGGGGTCTCCCCTGCTGGGCACGGTTTGGGTCTATTTCCCCTTCTAGGAGGGTCGTGTTGTGGGAGGTCTCCCTGTGTTAAAACATGTCAATACATATGGCTATAGTTGCCACAGGGATGTTCTTGTTGCGTTTTGAGATGGTGCTGGATCTATTCCATAACCATGTAGGATGCGGTGCAAACCGCAAAGACGAGAAATGATACACGGCATTCCGAGCGCGAGCGTCCAAAATCAGGCCACCTCGCTAGAAGAAAGGCGCTCAAGTGGCTTCGGTGCTCAAATGGCATCGAGCGAAGGACCGAACTTCGACTCAGCCGGTTCAGCCTGGGGTTTGATCTCGTCCAGTCCTGAACCGTTTGAACCACTGGTTATGATACTATTGGGTAACTGGATCCACCGGGCTGGAAAAAACAAACAAGCAACAGGATCATTTTAAAGAGATTCGTCAACTCAAGTCATGGTGGGGACGTTCTGAATCGTGTGTTTCTGAAAAGGTTGCGGCCTTAGTCCGCACAGAAGATGATTCCTGTTTCAGCCTATAGAAAGGACACAACAACTCACCCAACTTTGGCAGTTCCAGTTGCACCTTAGTTAAAACATATATATATATATATTAGAAGTTTACAAAGGAACGTATTCCTTGGTTAAAGTTTCACGTGTTTCCCTTGGTTTAACAACTCATCCAACTTTTTACACAGTTTAAAACATTTTACAGCACCACCTTGGGCACAGGACACGTATTCCTCCAGGATCCATCGTCCTTGGCGTACCCTGAGTGCCCAAGCAATGGCGGCAATGGAGGATCCAAGGTGGTAAATACCCGGAGTGCCCAAAACCGTACCTGGCAGTATACCGGTCATACACCCAAAGATGTTCTTTCTGCCTGCTTCTCTACCAAAAAGGGACTGCTACAGCTCCGAGATCTCGACGATTGTTTTTTTTCAAACAGCACTGTCCCCCCACCGCAGGTCCTGTTCCTTGCCAGTGAGGTCCGCAGCAGTGTCTGCTACCTTCAGGGCGGCGTCCAGTTGGCTCTCCTGGGCCCCCAGCCAACCTTCCACAGTGTCGAGGATCCTGAAGCGCGGGTGGAATGATCGCAGTGCGGTACTTATATCCAGTCCATACCCAGCTAGTGCAGCTATACTTATATACTGTAGGAGTATAAGTTATATATATATAAATAGGGAGCAAGTTGATGATTGATTATGGTTGCGACTTGAGTCCAACGCCACAATTGTCTATTGGCTCTCAAACATTCTTGGCCCTCTGTGTGCTGGTTGAACAGAATCATCTGAGCTGGCGATGTTGGCAAAAGGCATCAAGTAAGAGACAATCACAGAAAATTGTGCATTGAGGATGGTTTTAGGATGTTTTAAGGGTCAATGAAGGAACATCATGTTTCGCATGTTTCATACAAGGATTATTGTCGACTGATTCATCAGCTTTCTGACGGTTTCAACCCCGAGAGCGAACAAACAACCATAGAAACCAGGCGTTTTTCAACGGCGCACCACCCCCGCAGCCGTCAAGGTCGACCCTGCAGCAACTGGGCGATGTCGTGGTGACCTGTCTGAGTTGCCCAAAACAAAGCGCTTTGGCCACCCGGTCCTACAGCATTCATATCAGCACCAGCTTTCAGCAAAGTTCGGACCACTTCCAAGTG